GAGACAGCTTATAGCAGCTATTTTGTTTTATACTAAGAAAATAATGGGGCTCGGGATTTAGCTCAGTGGTTCTAGCACCTGCTTCACAAGTACAAAGACCCAAGATCAATCCCCGGTTCCAAAAAAATCAGTGACTTGCATTGCTGTATGTATGTATATAAAAAGAATAAAAAGAGTTTGGCCAGCCTTTCTCATCCTTCAAGCACACATAGGAAGTCAATAAGTGTCTCAGCTAACATGAGGACTATCACTGCTAGGAAATAAATATAAATTTAATTTCTGAGTTTCAGATATTTAGTAAACTTAATATGGACCTGTAGGAGGCCAGTGACATGTCAAATCCCAGATGTCTGAGGACACAAAGTCTGCCCTTTAGGATAGGCACTTGACAGACTTTGTTCTGATTGGGTCCCCTCTTCAGCTCACCAGCCCCCACAGAACCTTAAAAAGTAACCTTGTCTTGCTGCTAATAAAGATTGTCTATGTAAATGTCTCAGATTTCTCTGCCCAGGCCCAAGGCAAAATTCTCTGACCTGCCCATCTTTAGAGGTGATTTCTTTTACAGAAAGTGTCCTAATTAGACTACTGACCTATTTTCTTCTCTTTCAAGGGACTAGAAAGCAATAGTTTAAATCTCTTGGTTTGCTGGCAATACTCCCTTCTCTAAACATGATTGTTATGGCCAAAGTCAATTGTAACTTATGCTTTAGAAGTATGTACTGGAGTAAGGATATGAGTTCCCTGAGGAAACTGGGAAAGGGTAGATAGATAGTCCAGTCCAGTTTGATTTTCTGGATCTCTCTCCAGAAGGTAGCTACCTACCCTGGAGTGGAATAAACCTTGGAGGATGCCCTGGGGATTCCTTAAGGGACTAGGAATCAAGCAGGAGGACACTGTACTTATTTCTCTTATTTCAGATTTGGAGCTTCATATCTGGACCTTGTATTCATTTGGAATGTATTAAGGAGCAATTTAGTATTTCTCTACACCCACATGTGGCGTGCCTACTTTCTAAAGCCAAGCACAAAGAGGAAAGTACTATGATGCTATTTCACAATTAGAATTATACTGTAAGGGAGAAAAAAATGGTCAAGATTATCTTATCTTTTTTATATAAAGAAGTAATTCTTGCTTGTGTTTGAACATAAATGTAGGCCAAGGAAAAATGAGAGACACCTCACCCTTAAGACATTCAGTACCTCTAAGCTCAAGGCTATTCCTCACTATTTAGAACTGGAAAACAAGTGTCCAAGACAATTTTAAGCCTTGACCACCAGGTGCCAAGAGTAGAGTTTCTAGGCCAGCTGTCATGAAAACCTCCATGAGGCTAAGTTTTTCAGGCCCCTCAACAACAATATTTCTTGCAGGAAGTACATGGCAAATATGGAACTACCTGCATTCATGTGTCTTTTTCTCAGTGAACTAAGACAGATTAAATGAGACCTAAGAAAGTTTTCAGATGACCCTGGTATGTACCTTAAGGTCTTTAGAGGATTTACTCAGACCTGTGGACTATATTATAAAGATGTAATGTTGCTCTTAAATCAAACATTGATTTCTAATGAGAGATAAGTGATATTACAAGCTGCCAGTACATTAACAGACATATTATCTTAATTTTGGAAGCTTAAAAGACAGGCAGACAGGGGGAAAAAACTGATTCCTACTGGAACACAAGCAATTCCTATGCAAGACCCTCACTCACTTCCCTGACAATCAGACAGGAGATTAAATAGACATTTTCAGGCTTGTATTCCTGAAGGTCTAAGAAATATGAGAACTAAGACCTTCAGTTAAATTGTCAACTTTCAGGAAAAAGATGAGGACATCCCTGGCTGATGATTTGATAAAAAGAAAATACTGTAGTTTTTGCCAAATCACAGTGTTTCTATGTAGATAGTATATGTTTTCTATGTAGATAGTATATGATAGTTTCCCCAGAGGAAATGGCCCCAGTGGTCCTATTTACTCAAAATGGTCCCTCACACAGGAAATGAGTCATGGTGAAGAATCAAGTAACTCCCAACAGGAAAAAGAAACTTACCCCACTCTGCCTCCTTCTCACCAGAACATTTTCCTGCCTCTAAATTCACACCTGTCAGTCAGTTTCACCCTCTTCACTAGCTCCAACCTATCACCCACTTACACGCAGTGCTCTCCCTAACTCCAATTAACCTCACTCCAACTGGGTTTGCTATCTCTTGCCATTGTTCCAGGCAGCCTGGCAGCTCTTTGCCCCCAACCAAAAGCCTTGCCAGGGGTGAAAAAAACGTTAAAACTTCTAGAAATAAGTATATGTTTATAAATACCAATGTAGGTGTTCTCATTTGAATATTAGCAATTATTTAAATGGAGAGTAAGGAAAAAAGTTCCACAACAAAGAACTTGTCATCCTAAAATTGTAATCACTAGTTGATATTAAGTCACTTGGTGATACAACTGTATCAGTACTCAAATACAATAATTAACATTTTGATTTCTTTTTTTCTACAGCAAGGCCCAAAGTAACATTCGTCTTTGAAAGAGAGACAAGCCAGGTAAATAGCAATGTAAACATACTTTTTATTATTACGCAAATGAACTTAGACAATAGAACACACTCTAAATGAGAAATACTGAAAGTATTTTCATTTAAATAATAAAGAATGACCAGTGTTATTGTCATATTTAGCTATTATATCTAGAGATGTAGTAAACATAAAAATTCAGAAAAGGAAATAAAAGCTGTGAATATTGGCCAGAATGAAACAAATCTGTAATTTGTAGGATCTTATGCACACAAGAACAGAATCTAGTGATAGAGGGAGAAGATAAAGAAGGAAAAGGGAAGTAAAAATGATTAAGCAGTGATACACACATGTACCAAGTCTCCGCAATTAATATATTCATTATGTATCATAAACATGTATTACTAAAACAAAATTTAAAACCTAAGGAAAAATTTTCTAGATCAATGGATATTTGATGAAGCTGCTAAATGCAAGGTTATATATATTTAAGCATCAAGGGAGATTGTCATTTCCTTTTCTTCACAGCAGCTGCAGTAATACTCAGAAACTCTGGAGGAAAAAAATTGTATTCAAATAGGGACAAAATTCAATATATTTAATAATACCTTTTGTCAGAAATTTGAGGAAGCTATTCAAAGAAAAATACGAACTTTCTTTAAAAATAAAAAGAATAAGAAAGAATCCTTAAACCACAGTTCTACATAATCCAATATACATATTTAAATCCCATTAAAACCTTATTTCAGTTGTCAGAAAACATTCAACATCATTTTAAATTTCATTTGGAAGCATATACAATATTGACATAACTAAAGCTATTATTAACAAGGTAAGGATAATGAAGATGATCGAACAATAATAATTCACATTGTGATATGTAATAAGTCCTGAGAAATAAATTGATACATGGAATCTGATTTCTGCCTTAAAGAGTCGCCCACTATGTGACAGGCATTACAATAGGGGGCTCTAACTGAACATATTACTGTACTTGGTCAATAAGAGTCAGTCCATCCACTTAATATCTAGACACTGGTGTCAGAGAAGCCTAGTAATCTTATCGAAAGTGCCATTATTAATAAATTTTAAGTGCAGGATTTAAAAGAACTCATTATATATTACCAATTTTATTCAAAGAGAATGGTTACCTCATTTTCTCTTTCTAGACTAGATTTGAAGAAACTGTACCTGTCTTTTTTTTCTTAACTTGGATGAATATGAGATTACCTGTTGCACAATCAAAGTTTTTTCTTTTAAAGAAAAGTGGGTTTTAATGGATTAAAATTAGTCTCTAAAGTAAATGCTGAGCTGAGTATCTTTCTTTTACTATCCCTCAAGAGAGCTCCTAGCACACTCTAAATTCACATGACAATGTTAATATTTTTAGAAACAAGAAATGTGATAAAGGTGTTATATCTTTAATGATTAGCAATTAGTTTAAAGTAAATATTTTTATCCAATAGTTCATAGCAAATACATTTACTAGAGAAAAATCAACTCATACTTTAGAGAAACATAAGATATTTTAAAATCTTAAAAGTAACTTAAAATTATAGTTGGTAAGTCAATGTTTAAGTTTAAAAATGTAAATGTAAATGTAGTCCATTTTTAAAAGCTTTAATATACTTTATGTTACATACTATCCACAAAATTTAAGATGAAAAACTAAATGTTTTTCACAGACATATGACTGTGAGCTAATTTGATTATTTCATATAAAAGACTTATACAAATTTGGAAAAAATACAAAACTGAAAATAGAATAGAACATATGAATTAATAATTCAGACAAACTCTAGCTAATAAAAACATTAGAAATTCTCATGATATTATTTAAAATGTCATGCCACAGGCCAGGGATTTAGCTCAGCAGAACTGCCACTGCCTTGCAAACACAATGCCCTGAGTTCAATGCCAGTACCCTTCCCCCCAAAAAAGTTATGTCAATGAATTTTCTTGTTTTAAATCTATTCAATTAGTAAGTTTTAAAAAGATATATATTTATGTCTATTAGTAATTATTAGGTTACTCGTTTGCTTATAATTTGGCATAAAGGTCTGACAAAAACTTATCTGAAGTTATAAAAGTATTTAGATATGAATCCAATAAGTTAATTTTATGCAGTGTATTCAAAGAAAATAAACTTATTCCTGGACTGAAGTAAAAACAAAATTTCATCATCACATGGGTGTAGGAAATAAATACTGAAAACAACATCTGCAAGTGTAAAGGTAAAATGGTATCACTCTATACATCTAATATGTATTACAAAGAAAAATCAAATTTAGGTACTATTTTATTACCGTTAATAATGGTTTGGAAAAATACACAAAATTGTGAATATAAAAATAAATGAACAACATAAAGATAAGTTGAGTTTTTCTCAAATAGATATTCAAAAAAGGAAAACTAAACTATATAAAAACAATTTGAGTTTTTAACAAGCCAGTTTTCAAAAAGGTCAGTTAGCTATGATTATTTCTTCATTAATAGTTTTCTTTAATGTGTTTAGTACTTAAATTTTATATCTAAAATTAATGAGCATGACTTTCATGGTAAAATGAGGCAATAAGTTTATTTAAAATGTGTATGCACAACTAGACTAATCATTTCTTATACAACTATCTTAATACAGTTGAGGGCAAATCCAGGGATTCACCAGAAGCCCTTTAGGAAAAGTAAAAATGACCCTCTAACAAATAAATAGTTAGTGATCCATTATTGTTCTTTAGTCCTATCCAGTCTTTTTGTAAAGATTGTGAGTAGGAAGAACCCAATTCACATCAGAGAGGCTTTCACATGTTTTAATTCCCAGGGAAGAGGTAGAAATATCGTGTCATGGATACTCTTTCAATTGTAGGCATCTGTGTCAATTTAGTTGGGGTCTCGAATGAACGTTGAACCTGAAAGAGTAAATAAAAGTCTTTAAAACTCTCCTTAAGAAAAGGAAATCCCGTCTTCACTCCCAACAGTGAAAACCACTGAAGCGTCTTTTAAAACTATTAATAGGTAGTATAAACTAAAGATATTTTTAGCTTTTCCTTGGATGTGGTGCAGACACAAATGAACAAGAACATGTAAAATGAATTTCCTTAGTGATCAAGGCTATTACAATCAGATGTTGTTAGAAAACACCAATTGGTTCTATGTGGAATTATTAAACACTTCCTGTTTAAATAAACATGAAGTAAAGGATGTAACATCAAGAAGACAAGTACTTTAGTAGTTTTAAAAATGGTTTGCAAATGATTCTTTAGTTTTTAAGGTTGAAGAAAGAAAAGAAAACCCCTACCATTCGAAAAATTTCCTCCAGATGATGACTCCAGCAATATTCTTTGATGAAGTAGATGAGTTGAGAAATGAAGAGAGAGCCAGTGTCTAGTATCCAAGAAACATTATCTGAAATAAACATATGGAAACATTGAGGAAATACAGCTTTTGTAGAAGCACAGAAGTCTATCTGAGACAAAAGGCTTTGAGACAAAGTGTAATTTGATGCTTTGGAAAAGAGAAAGGGCTAAGCTTAGTAAAGCTATAACCTCAGGTTTCCATAGATAAAACCTTCATGGACCCTCAAACATAACTTCTAGGCTTTCTTTGTAGGCAAGGCCAAAGTTATGGCTAGAAGGGTTGCAGATAGCAGAAAAGAGCACGGAGTCCTATCAGTATTGACTAATAGAAAAAAAAAAAAAAAAAAAAAA